TTTTCTGAAGAAGGGTCTAGACCCGCAACGTCAGCTTTCCTGCTCCTCTGATGCTGCTTGGCCTGCTGTGTTCATCCAGCTCTACACCTCTATGTTTTAGATTATTTCTTTTTACATATAGTAAACATTAAACTCACTTTTTTTGTTAACTCAAGAAAGCTGGTTAAATTGACTCCTTTTTAACACAAAAGTTCATTGGTCAGGGTGAAAGGTACCCACAAGGAAGGAATCCTTTTAAAATAGTTGTGACTAAGCTAGGCAGCAGGTGAATAATGAAAGGGAGCTAGTTATTTGCTCCATACCTAGGTGGTTAACAATTTGGGGTATTGGAGTAACTTGGGGGATTTTGTCTGGGGTCTAGTCATAACTCGTACGTTAAATATGTTTTCATACCATAACGAAGATCTCACTCACCAAACCAGTGCAGGCACCGATAGAAAATACCAGGATCCATTTAACCACCTCGCATCTTCTGACTTTCTGTCAAAATTAAAGAAAAATCAATCACAGCAGTCAAAGCAAATTCAGCAGGGTTATCAGGAGAGGGGTTGGGTACTGTATATTATGATAAAAGGAGGTCTTTTGGTTTAATTTTAGTTCAAAAGTAAGAACAAAAAAACCCATAAACCACTCAGCAAAATCAGTGAACCTCTTTGGGGGGAGAAATGGTTAATGATTTAGGTGTGCATTAAAGGCATAATCTGTAACTGAGAATTTAATATGTCTATTCTCTCCATGGATGCTGTTTAGCCTATTTACAACATTGCCTGTTTTTCACTTTGGTTAATTTAGCTTGGTAATATTTGTTTCAAATCACATTACCAAAGAGACAATTTCAAGAAGTGCAAGGTACAGTAAAGTGTGGTGGAAACCTCAAACCCTTTTCCCCTAAGACTGTTAAGTGTGTGTACAGGGGGGAATAGGGTATGGATTTCAATTTCAAAACAGATCAATAGACTTTTGTAAGACAAATGCATTAAGGGTTAAAGGGCGTTAAATGAAGTCAAGATACAGATCAGCAATAATTGAAGTAAATGGTAGAACAGACATTTGTGGCAGATGGCAGAATATCTACAAATATTCCTTCAGTACAGTCAACTGCACACTCAGATATTCCAAATCCAGACCCCAAAACTTTGCAAAATTATCAGTCTAATATCAAACTTTTTGAAAGGATGAGGCTACCAAATTAAATGCTTCAATATATCATTATGTAAGTTAATCATACTATTGTGAAATGTAATTTGATTTGTTTTTAAAGTTTATTTATTTTAAACTGTAGAATTTTCAATTACTGAGAGACAATGGTGCATCATCTTTTCAACAATTTGAAGAGAAAAGGTACACTGTCACCTAGATATCTGTTCATACAATTACATGATACAGAAAAAGCAGACATCATATTAATCAGAACTTTTACCAACCTCAGGATGCCTGAAAGCATTTCTTAGCCAATGAAGAATTTTTGCAGTTCAATTCTGTAATGCACAGAAAAGCAGTGCCAATTTTCATTCTACAAGACCCCCAACCAGCAACGAGGTAAGTGACCAAATAATTGTTGTTGAGTGGAACTGTTTTAGAGGTAAAGATTCTCAGATAAAGGCGAGCTCCCTTGCGTTTCTATCAATAGTAAGATGAGATCATCTGTTCACCTCAAATGCCAGAAAGGTCTTGGGTTAAAAACTCTACTAAATAAAACCACTTGCTAGATTCTTTGTTTATGCTTCTGGAACTGGGCACAAAAGAAAACTAGCACTGCGTACAGATGTCGTTTCCATTCTACATGGGGAGCACAGGAATTCATGACAAGAAAATAAGGACAGGTGTGACTGGAATGATGCAAGGGTGGCATGGGGGGTGCCTAACAGAAAACTGTCAGCATTTTTCTTTAGTTACTTGCTGAAACTGACTGCAAATTCAAAATATCAAGCATGTACAAATTTCATGGAAATTTTGAAATTGTGGGCCATTCAGGACCCAACAGATGACCACCCACCAGAAGTAGCAATCAGGAGATCAGAGAGTGCTTCAACATTCCCATTCCCACATTATTTTTAGAGACTTCACAAAGGTATGCCTTGTTCAATCAGATACAACTGGATTTCTATGTGATGCAGTTAAGAAAACTATGAAAACAAAACTAGCCTAAGAAAATCATACATGCTATACTATCCAATGATTAATTGTTAGACTTAAGCTTTACTTTTCTTTTAAAAACATCTTTAGAAAAATTTGAGTTTATTTTTCCAGAATAGTGGCTATAACAGAAATATTGTTAAAAAATAGCCAGGATTGGGACCTTAATAGTCAAAGTGCTCAGAAAATAAAGGGATTGAAAAGGGAGGCGGTGGTGGTAGTGCTGATTAGGGAAGGCATTGCAGTGTTGGAAAGAAAGAGGTCCCTTGAAGTGTCAGGAACAGAATCCATTTGATCAGAGTTGAAAACCAATAATTGGGAGAGAGGGACAGGGATCCAAATCTGCAGTGAAATAGCAACAATGAGAAAGAACTATAGTGTGACGATTGTGGATAATACTAATCACACAAAGAAAGATCAGAATAATATTATGATTTCTTAAGTGTGTTCAGAACTTCCTGTTTGACCAGTATGTTCTCTATGCAACTGGGTAGGAGGCATTGCCTGGATCTGGTGATAGGGAAAGGGGTGGACCAGGTGGACCAACTGTCTGTGGGGGAACATTTAGTAAGAATGATCATTGTATAACGTTTAAATGACTAATGGAAAAGAATAATAGTATAACTTTAAACTCGCGGCAGACACAGAGGAATTCATCAGGTGAATAAGGCTCGGGGAATTCTTCCACAAACCCCAAGATGTCAGCAGCGAGCCCAGTGAGACAACCAACCAACCAGAACCAGTTGACAGAGATCCGTGTTGCAGTGACCAAAGAAAAAGTCAAATTGGAGCCCTTCAGAAGGCCACTGCCCTAGGCTCAACATGTATGCTGAAGGCAGCAGGAGGAGATGCGTTAATGCCAGATTCATCAGCCACGCTCAAGATAGTGCAGGACGTCACCCAAGCACAACGCAATGCCATCCATGCTTTCAAGACCAATCACAACATTGTCATCAAATCAACAGACAAAAGGAGGAGCTATCAAACAGAATAGAGTGGACTACTGCAAAGAAGCATACCGACACTGAACAACCAGGAACACTAAAGACAACTACCTGCCAATCCCACCAAAGAATACACCGTTCAACTCAACAGACTGATCAAGACCTTTGATACAGACCTTCAGAATATTCTACGCACTCTCATCCCGCGTACTTCTTGCATAGGAGACTTCTACTGCCTTCTGAAAATACAAAGTCAACACCTGGACGCCCCATTGTGTCAGGCAATGGGACCCTGTGAGAGAACATCTCTGGCTATGTCATCGTGAAACCCATTGTACAAGGAACGCCCAGATTCTGTCACGACACACTACAGATGTCTTACAGAAACTCAGCACACATGGACCAGTTGAATCAGGAACATTCCTCATCACAGTGGACATTTCGGCACTCTACACAAGCATCCCCCACGATGACAGCATCGCTGCAACTACTTCAGTACTCAATACCAACAAATGAATACCAACTGCTAATTTCCATCCTACAACTCATCTGCTTCATCCTCGACTGCGTCTTCACCTTCAACAACCAGTTCTTCATCCAGACAGAGGGAACAGCCATGGGGACCAAATTTGCACCCCAATATGCCAACATTTTCATGGACAAGTTCGAGTAAGACATCTTTGCTGCGCAGGACCTCCGACCAACACTATACACCAGATACATTGACGATATTTTCTTCCTTTGGACCCATGGTGAGAAATCACTGAAACAACTACTTAACGATATCAACCAGTTTCATCTCACCAGACTTACCATGGCCAACTCTTCAGTATCAGTCTCATTCTTGGACATATGCATGTCCATCAAGGACAGACACTTCAGAACCTCACTACCACAACCTCACGATGTTGTACTTCTCCAGCTTCCACCCTAAACATACTAAAGAAGCCATCCCATAGGGACAAGCCCTGCACATGCTCAGATGAGGAGGAATACAAGGGACACCTAAAGATTTTGAAGGACGCTCTCATAAGAATGGGATATGGTGCTCAACTCATTGATCACCAGTTCTGAAGTGCCACAGTGAAAAACTGCAATGACCTCCTCAGAAGGCAGACACAGGATACAACCGATAAGAGTACCCTTCATCGTCCAATACTCCCCAGAATGGACAGACTAGGCCATGTTCTCCGCAGCCTTCAAATGTCATTGATGACAATGAGCATCTCGCCAAGATCATCCCTATGCCTCCATTTCTCACCTTCAAACAACCGTCAAACCTTAAACAGACCATCGTTCACAGCAAACTACCCAGCCTTCAGGGCAACATCGACCACAACACCACACAACCCTGTCATGGCTATCTCTGCAAGACATGTCAGATCATTGACATGGATACTACCATCATACTTGGGAACTCCATCCACCCCGTACACAGATGTGACTCGGCCAATGTTGTCTATCTCACATGCTGCAGGCAAGGAAGCCCCGAGGCATGGTTATTATTGGCAAGACCATGCAGATGCTACGACAACGGATGAACGGATACTGCGGAACAACCACCAGAGAGGAATGTTCCCTCCCAGTCGGGGAACGCTTCAGCGGTCAAGGACATTCAGCCTCCGATCTTCAGCTGAGCGTCCTCCAAGGCAGCCTTCGAGATACACAACAATGCAGAATCGCCAAGCAGAAACTGATACCCAAGTTCCGTACCCATGAAGACAGCCTCAACCGTGATCTTGGGTTCATGTCGTGCTGTATGTGACCCCACCACACTGTTCTGTATCTGTAAAACCTTCCTTACTGTCCTGTTTTGACACCACCACCTTGATAAATTGTTACGATCTCACTACCTTAACTAGTTTTGGATTACTTATTACTTCGGTTAGACCCTCAGCATGCAAATCTTATACCTGTCATGTTATTCCAGTCATTTAGTTTGTCTGTAACAACACCTGATTTTTAATTTGTTGCAATTATCTCTCTGCCTCATTTATTCAGGTTATAGGTCTTCCCTTCGCTTGTTATTCAGCTGCTGACACTTTACTCACACCATCTAGCACTCCTGGTCACCTGTAGAGACTTATTATTCAACACTCCACTCACACCATTTTATGATCTTTTGATCTCTCTACCTACAAATTCTGTGTCTGTGTGCTCTTTTCACACTTCACCTGATGAAGGAGCTGTGTTCTGAAAGCTTGTGATTTCAAATAAAGCTGTTGGACTATAACCTGGTGTCGTGTGACTTCCGACTTTAACTTTAAACTGGAAGAGGGTTAACTGCAATGCATTGAGAAAGAGATTTAGCCAGATTAAAATGGAACCAAAGTTTTGACAGGAAAACATATAACTAAACATTAGCTGATTTTTAAGAAAGTGATATTTCAGGCACAGGTACATTTCAACAAGAAGCAAGAAAACCAAACTGCGCTCCTTGAATAACAAGGTTGGTAAAGAATATGATGAAACAATAAAAGGACTTATGGTGCACATCTGATGAATTCTTCAAAGAGTGAAGCTAAATGCAGCAAATTGAGAGAAAGTGAAGAGTAGGCTAAGATGGAGGAAGAAAAAATGAGAATTGAATGGCGCTTGACATAAAAGAGTCCAAAAATCTTCTACCAACAACTAAATACAAAGTAGGCAGTAAGTAGCAGGTTGATACCCATTAGAATTAAAAGATATGTTTAGAGGCAGAGGGCAAGGCTAGAATTCTTACTGAGTGCAGTAAAGTCCCACCGTTCAGGGTGCACATGTTCTCAGAATGTTGCAATCGGTGATTTTTGCAAATGACAGACTATACATACATAGCGCAACCTTTTTCTCCAGGAAGTTAGTTTTTTTTCGTGTTTTTCTTTTCAAAATCGTGGTCAGCCAAACACTAGATTCAAAGTCACTGAAAGGCAACTGAAGTAAGGGTGGACATGCAAACACATATTTACTGTACTTTATATAGGTGTTTACTAAGGAAAAGGATGCTGGACATACATCAGTAGAAGCAGAAATATAAATGATTGATGGAGTGAAAATTGACTGGCAGAATGCACAAAGGCTGGTCATGCTCAAGACTGGATAAGCTGTCTGGTCCATTCTGTAGCATCTAGGTTGTGAAGGGAAGTGGGAGCTGCAAAAAAGCTTGCCGTAATTTTCCTCTGATATGGGAAAGGTACCAGAGTCTTGCAAAGTGACAAACTTGTCACTCAATTTCAAAACAGAATGCAAGGACATCCCTAATAATTACAGGCCAGTCAGGTTAACACCTATGGTGGGCTGGGTTTCAGAAACAATAATCAGAAAAAGAAAATCAACAGGCACTTAGATAGCTTTGAGTTAATTAAAGAAAACCAACATGATTTGAAGAAGGCAAATCATGATTCACTGAATGATCTTTTCAATGCAGTAGCAGGGAAGTTGATGGGAATGCGCTGATATTGTCTATATTGAATTTGACAAGAAAGAATTTGACAAAGGATCACAAAAAAATTAGTTATCAAAATAGACCCTCCTACTTCTCAGCACAAGTGTCAAATTGTACAAAAACTGACAAAAAGGACAGTAAAGTAAGCAGTGATAAAAACTCGCCTTTAAGGCTGGAAGATTGCAGATAATGGTATACCACACTAAGACCTTTGCATTTCAACATGTATAAATATCCGCACATTGAATTAAAGCAAAATTTCAACATTTGCCAAATGATACTATTACATAGATTGGCTTGCAGAACAGGCAGACAGATATCAGATGGAATTTAATACAGGTAGATGCATGATGAAGTATTTTAGCAGAACAATTACTGAAGGCTAAATGATACAGTTCTAAAAACTTTGTGGGGTAAGGACACCCAAGGGTTCATGTGCAAACATCTTTGAAGGTGACAAGACAGATTGAGAAATTAATCAGCAAAGCATATAGCAGCTAGGGCTTCATGAATAGAGGTAATGAATACAAAAGCAGGGAAACTGTGCTGAACCTAAGCTCCGGTTAGGTCTCAACTGGAGTACTGCTTTCAGCTCTGATCACCGCATTTTGAGAACATGAAAGCTCCAGAGAGGTGCAGAGGAGATTTAGCAGAATGGCTTCAGAGATAAGGAAATCTATCTACAAGATTTGATTGGAATAGCTGAGGTCATTCTCCTTGGAGCAAAGCAAGTTGAAAGAAGAAAACAGAAAAAATTAAACAGCAATTTCTCAACATACCTTGTTATCCAGTGTTTCGAGCACCTCCAGATATGGCTCATTGATGCATTTATCATAATCCAAACTCTGCGAAGAGGAAACAAACCATCAGGCACACCAGAAAAAGAAAAATACACATTTAGTGATGCAGAATAAAATGTGAATCCACTATGATTTTGTTGTCATTTAACTTCAATCATGAAATTCGCAGGATTTCATCTGGAGTACAGTTAACGAACAGAGTGCCAGGTTCAATACTGATTAAAGTCAGAGTCAAAACACTGGCATACAACATAATGATCAACATTTTACATAAAATAAAAACAGCAACTTACTTAGTCATGGATTAATTTTGGGATTCAGGTCATTTATAAATCTGTTGTCAACTGAACTGAGAAACTGCTAAAATGTGCTCATTCCCAGGGTATGTGTTTTTCTGGATGCATATAGCCTAGCTGAATTTCTCAATTGAGCTTTAAGAACACTCCAAAAGGCAGCAAGAGTAAACTACATTGCAGTTGGTCTGGAGTCACATCAGGACTGGACAGTAAAGGTAGTTTCTCTCCCTTAGAGAAGTTAGTGAACCTGCTGGATTTTTGACAATTGGTAATTTCATAATCACGATTATTGATACTCAAATTCTATTCCAGATTAATTTCACTGAATTTATCTTCTCCAGGTAACATGTCACAGCTATTTACAATCTATATTACTGACCTGGATGAAGGGTCCAAATTTCTGGTAGCTAAATTTACAGATGACAAGGAAAGTAAGTGGTGAAGAGAAGATAGAGTCTGAGGGATACGTATAGGTTATGGAGGTGGGAAAAAACTGTGGAGGACGGAGTATAAAGTAGAAAAAATGCAAACTTGTCAATTTCAGGATTGAACAGAAAAACTTAAAACTATACAAGTGGAGACTGATTACACAATTAGGTGGCACAGAGAGATCTGGGTTCACAAAAAGTGAGGTCTACAGGTACAGCAAGCAATTAGGAAGACAAACGAATGCTGATGTTTACTACAAAACCAGTATGTTTTACTGCAGCTGTACAGTGTCTTCATGACAGCATATCTTGAGTATTATACATAGCTTCGGTCTCCTCATTTGAAAAAGGGTAAAACTGCATGAGAGATAGGAAGAACTGCCGACGCTGGATTCAGAGATAACACAGTAGGCCAGGCAGCATCAGAGGAGCAGGAAAGCTGACGTTTCGGGTTGGGATCCTTCTTCAGAAATAAGGGTCCCCAACCAAAATGTCAGCTTTCCTGCTCCTCTGATGCTACCTGGCCTGCTGCGTTCCTCCAGCTCCATACTGTGTTATATTTAAACTGCATGAGAAGCAGTTTAAAGCAGGTTCACAACTCCTTCCTGGGAAGAGAGGCTTATCCGATGAGGAAAGGTTGAACAGGTTGGGCATATAGACATTGGAGTTTAGAAGAATGAGGTAATCCTGCTGAAACTTCGGATCCTGCAGGAATTATAGGGTGGATTCTAGAAGGTTATTTCCTCTTCCTAGATGAGAACAAGGGGGACACAATTTAAGAAAAAGAGGTCTCCTTTTAAAGCAGAGATGGGGAGAATTTTTCTCTCAAAAGGGTCATTCGTCTTTGGAATACTCTACTTCCAGGTTACGTTGTTGCACGTTATAAAAACATAACTTACTTAGATTCACTACTGCTGCTCTTCTGAAATCATGTTGTAATCTGATGCCTGTATGGATATTAGACAACTTACAGCTACGAGAAAGCCTGCCTTCAACATCTACTACAATACTAGTCTCATACAACATATTTTTCAATATCAGGGCAATTAGGGGTTTGCAACAAATGTTCATTTCAGAGATATTCATATCCTGCAATCAAAAGAAATGGAACACATAAATTTAAGGTGTTCCTCCACATTCAGTGTGATATATTGTACACCAGCAGATTTAAGAAAGACAACTAATCTGTTTGAGGCAACATGTCCGAGAACATATCCCCGGGTCCTACGCAGGACCAGTGAACATTGGGAAGAACCGCTGTTGAACAAAGAGGGAGCTCCTGATAACTTATCAAACAGTGAAATCACGTGTGGTCTAACAATGTCTCAAAAACCTCAAACAGAGTTGCATTACAAACCAGAAAAGAAGCAGCCATCAGTCTGTGTGAGCTTCCAATTGGTAATGGCGTCTGCTGGGAAACTCAAAAATAAGCAAGAAAATGAAACGAATGACAATAAAGGGCATCTCACCAGTCTAGTTTCCTCTCTACCAACGTATTCAATGTTCAGGTGCAGCATATAGGAATGAATGAAGGTTTATTGTAAACACACTTGCCTTGCTCATTTACATACCTCATAATCTTTCCTTGGCAGAATTTCATCCTCTTCCTCATGTGTCTCTCCCAGAATAGTCTGTTATGAATAAAAAATACTGCATTAATTCCATTCAGTTTGACAATCAAGAACCAATTTGTTATCTCTTCTCCAAGAGCCTGACATAAAACAAGAACTTTGGTAATAGCAGTGAGAGAAAAAAGTGCTTTTAGAGAAGTTGAGCATCTAACATAATAGACTGCATTTCCCCTTCCCACCATTGCTTTAATCTCTTACGATCCAACTTTCATATGACACTCGGAGGCGAGGGTGTATCAACTGAAATTCTCCTGCCTAACATTGACAGATTTTTGTTGAGTAAGGGTTTCAAAGGATGTTGGGAAAAAGTGGGGAAAATTGAGTTAAAGTACAGATCAACCATGAACCAACTGAACAAACTCAAGGAACTGAATGTATCACACCTCCTCGCTTAAAAGTGACATTAATATCAATAGGGATTTATCTTTTCCTTTCTATCAGAATTAATACAGCATCATATCTGTGGCCAAATTATAGGCAGCCAAGAGAAAAATACGAAGTTTTCACCATATCTTCATCAATCTGGGCACTAACTGAAAAACTGCAATGTCATGATCAGTCAGCTGCCTAACCAAGCACTGGAACCTTCAAAACCCTCTCTTCCCACCCTAACATTTAGAAATATGACAATACTGATGTGTTACCCTTCTGCAACAAATCCATTCCATCTCCAAGCCCAAGAATTTTCCATTATTGAACTCGGGACAATTGACTACATTCCCCATTAGCCCCTTCACTCCGGTCCATGAAGAGTTATTAAAACTTTACATCGTCGCCTTTTGTACCCAATTCCTCAATTCCTTTAGTGTCCAAAATTCATCAATTTCAGTCTTCAAAATAATCATTAACTGAGCAAACAGTTTTCAGTTGAGGATTCCAACATGCAGAACGCTGAGTAAAGAATTACTCCTCACCTCAGTTCAAAATGGTTACTTCCTTGCCCAGAGATGATGACTATCAGTTCTAGACTCACCAAAGGAAACATCTTCCCAGTTCAAGCATAATTCCAGAAAGTTTTCCTTACAATTCTCCATCCACCTTTTGAAAAAATATTTGCTTCCTCATGTAGATTAATTTCAAGATTTTTACACAATATTCCTGAAATATCACTGAATATCAACGCTGAATGGTCTTTGCCTTTTAAAAAAAATTCACATCATACCCCACCTTCTTGCATGATCACTTAACAGTCTGTATTCCTTTACAGTCTTCCTTTCAGCTTACAAAGATAGGCAGGAATGTATCAGTCACAAGATTGGGAGCATTATACTTGGTCCCCTCACCCATGCTATTGGATCTAGGCTGTAAACAGCTGAGGCCCAAAGACTGATTCTTATAACAGTTCGTTTGTTACACCCTGTTGCTCTGAAAATGACCCATTTCTTCTTATTATTTTTCCTATCTGCAAACCCATCCTCAATATCCAATGAGCTCTAACTTTATGTGGTACCTTGTGGAGTAGTAGTCTCATGCACAGAAATAGAGAGGTGAAAGTATAGTTGGTCATTGAACTTGAAAGGAAGAAATAAGCCAAGGGTTTGTCTTCAGTTCTGAGGAAGTGACACAAGACCCAAAACGTTAGCTCTGATTTTTTCTTCACAGATGTTGCCAGACCTGCTGAGCTTTTCCAGCAACTTCTGTTTTTGTTTCTGTCTTCAGTTACCCCGATTGAAAAATGCATGCGTCTGGATACGGAGAACTGAAGACAATACCAGTGATTCTCCCCTCGAAGAGAAAAAAAAATCAAACAATGGGTAAAGAAGAAACAGGTGCTATGGAAATGAATATGGTATATAAGCAGTAGGGAAAGCAGAGGGCCAGGATTAGGAGAGGAAGAGGAGGTAGTTGTGAGGGACCGGGCAGTATCGGAGTGAGGCAACCAGGTGATGATCCGAGAGCAGGGAAGAGGAGCGGAGCCAAGCCCACAAAGACCCTGTGGTGAACTCAGGAAAGCTCGCAGTGAAATAACACAGCCAGCGCCCCTTCCCCGCTCACCAGCTCCTCCGGGCTACGGCCCTCTCTTTCCCCGCAGCAGCAGTACCGCAAACATGGGCCGCTCGCCATCGCCACCCCCGCCCGTCACGTGCGCCGGGCCTGCCAGTCACGGGTGGGGTGGGGGGGGGGTGGGTGCGGGGTGGTGTGCAGGACCTAACGATACAGACAGGGTTCCGATCTCGCGCGTCCACAAATAACAGGAGACACAGCTTGGTGACACCCGTAACTGCGAACAACTACGCATGTACGCTGATTCTACGCATGCGCACCATTCCAGACACTACATCATAAAGTCTACATGCGACGTCACCAATAAATGTCGCACTGCGCGTGCGTGTTGAAGCGTGCACACTTTTGAAAGGGGGTTCAGTAGCGGTTCCTTAGACTTGATGGTCTTACCCTTCACTTTCGCTTTTCTTCAGACTGATCGTAAGGCTCAATTATTACATGCATTGCAGAACAAGTCTATGCTATATTGCATGTCCAACTCTGAACTGACAGTGAAGACATCGCCAACAGTAAATCATGAAGTTTGTAAAGAAGATAGTAACAGACTTCAGGATAGACTGGTGAAATGGGCAGACGTGTGAGAGATGGAATTTAATCGAAACAAACGTATGGTATTATATTTTGCGGGAGGGAATGAAGAAGGGCTGTATAAATTTAAATTGTACAATTTTAAAGAGTAAGGAGTAGTGAAAACTCGATGGATGTTCTCTCTGAAAGTGGAAGGACAAATATAAAAAGTTACTTAAAACGTACGTGGCTGAATAAATAAAGACATACAATTCAAAAGCAAAGATATTTTGCTCAAGCTTTATAAGTTAATGTTTAGGCCTCACCTGGAGCATTTGTGACTATTTGTGAGGAGATAACCATAAATTGTAGGAGGATATCGATGGACGTCAGCTGGGCACGGCAATAACAGGTAGAATTCAACGTTGAAAAGCGAGGAAATGCACTTGGGGAGGGATATCAAGGGAAGGTATTACACCATGAATGGCAGGATCCTGGAGTCAGAGAAATATTGGTGTGTATATCCACAAATCCCTGAAAGTAGTGGAGAAGATAGACAGCATAGGTAAGAAGGCATGTGTAATTCTTGCCTTTATTAGTTGAGGGATAGAATACAAAAACAAAGAGGTTATGCTGGAACTGTATTAAACGGGGGTCACAACTGGAGTACAACATGCAGTTCTGGTCACCACATTACACTAGAGAAGGCGTAGAGAAGCTTTGCCAGGATGCTGCCTGAAGTAGAGGATTTGAGCTGTGAGGAAAGATTGGATAAGCTGAAGTAGTCCTTGGAGCACCAAAGATTGATGGGATACTTGATGGAAGTGTATGAGATTTAGGGCTTAGAACGGATAGAAAGGCACATTTTCCATTAGTAGATGGTTCAGTAACCAGATTTAAGGTAAAAGAGGAGAGTTGAGGAGAATTTTTCCCCAGCCTAAAAGTGTGGTTAAGTCAAAAATTCTCAGAACATTTAAGCTGTTTTTAAGCATTCACTTGCATTACCTCCAATGCAATAGGGCCAAAAGCTGGAAAATTGGATTACTTTTGTCAGATCTTTGTTGACCAGCATGGATATGGTGGGCCGAATAGCTTCCTTCCGTGCTGTCAATGTCTAAGCCTGAGAATTGTAGGCACCATACCTCAAAGGCCTTGATGAGGGAGCAAAGGAAACATCATTACAACGGTACCAGGGATACAAAACTTTAGTACCGCAGAAAAGACGAGAGATACTAAGAAGAATGTTCAAACTCGTGAACGGTTTTAATGAAATAAATAAGTAGAAACTATTTCGCGCACTAAAGGAATACAGATTTCAAGTCATTCACAAGTCCACATGAGGAAAGATCTACTGCCTGAGAAAGTAGCAGAAGATGATTCGATAAGAACTTACAAAAGGAATAGGATAATTACTTGAAGGGGGAAATATTCTGAGCTTTGAAGAACAATGACTCACTGGGTAACTCTTTCAGAGCCGACACAGAAAGGATAGGCCGTATGTCTCTCTGAACGCTTTTTAGGTCACTTTTCACATGATTTGTATTGGTGGGTCTGAATGTGATTATACTGAGGGTTGCTTTCCTTGTAAGAGTGTTTCTGTTTCATTCCCGGTATAGAATTGACACTCATTCTTCTTTTGGTGCTGTACCCGCGATAGGCGGATCAAGGTCTCGACCATCTGTTCCTTAGGTTGGATCCTTTAACTCGGCTTCTCCTTATTCTACAATGTGAGTCTGCCTCGGAGTTGGGTATATTATCCAGAAAACGTTTCAGATGAAGTCACTTTCAAACTGCTTTTGGGCGTTGTTGACTTGGGGAAGAACCATTCAGTGGTATCGCTGAATTTGTCTGCATTATTTGGAGGTTTAAATGCGTCTTTTTACCGTTAACCATGTGATCCAGGCACCTTCTCAGATCAAGTGTTAAATGTTACATTAATGATATTGTCTGAACGCAGCAACGAAGAACAGGACCCGAAACTAAAACAGCTGCAAACCCTAACTTCACAAATTTGCTTTCTACAAACCACGCCCATTTCTCAGAACACTTGGAGAAGGACGCAGTTGAATTTGAACTCCCATGATGATATGGTCCGTTAAGTAAATATTTACTTCACAATTTCATGGCTGGCGGAAATGTCAGTTCATCCTCGCTAGCACGTCAAGCCCATTATTCACTGATTCACCCAGGATTTTCGCTTCTCTGGTAACATTTCTGAGTTACTTTCGCTATTTTTTTGGAGACTGACGCTGTTATGTTGCGATAAGCTACTTTGTGTGAGTATCGTTGTTTATTGTACTGTGCCATTCATTTTCAAATAACGTTTGAATTGTAAATTTCTCTTTTCCCCAGCAGTGTTTCGGGAATGAAGAACTCCGTTTGGAAAGGAACGTTCCCTCTGGGCTGCTATTTCCTGTCCCGATGTATACTTTAAATGTTTGTCTGATTGTACCAATGCTGAGACAGAAACATTGTAACAAAACTGACATTCCCATCCTCTTTTAATCAAAACTGCAGCCTCTCTGACAGTTAAACTCAGTTTGTAACGTTGGCACCTCAGTAGAATGAATCCTTAAACCAAAATCACTTCCAGTGGTTAAACAGGACTTTAAAGATCTGAAGCAGAAGGCTCCAGTTTCCTCGACAATCTTTTTTTTTAAATTGTGCTATTTGATCTTTCCGGTAGATGCTGCTTCGCACCATTTGTCACCGTTTCAATACACTGGCTTGTAGTGTGCAGAAGAAGTCACAAGTAGGCCAGTCCAGGTGAGTTGACAGGTTATTTTCCTTCAGCACATTATTATAACAATTTCTGTAGTACCTAAGACAAGGTCATTAAAATAACAAAACCAGTTTAAAAAAAGGAAACGAAACAGAAATTGCTGAACAACTCAGCGGCTCTGGAACGAAAGTAGAGTTAAAGCTTGGAGTCCACTGACCTTTCACTTCTGGTCTGGTCAGAAGTGAAGAAGGCTGATGTGATGGGACAAAAAGTACACGAGAGGCCAATTTTAGGGAAACAAGAGTTTGTTTAGCTTGGAGAGCAACGAGAACATATGAAGCACAGAAGATGACGAAGTCTGAAGTGGCAGATTATTTATATTGAGGAAGAGATTTACCAACTGCGCTAAGTTCAGTAGGAAAAAATGAGGGGATTTTGATGGAGAGTTAGGTATATGTAACAATAATAAATCAAATCAAACATTGAAGTGTCCTGAACACGCAAATCAGAGATTGCAAGATTGCTATGAGGACAAGCTGAAAAACTGCATTCGATTAATTTGGCAATTTGTATTGTGAAATGATTAGATTAACAGTGACAAGTTGCCAAATTATTGAAGAATTGTTTCATAGAAACCATAAATTGAGATTACTGAAGAAATAGTTACCATCTACACTGAACTATTTCTTCAATAATTTGGCAAAATTTCACTGTTAATCTAATCATTTCACAATACAAATTGCCAAATGTATTCAATGTAGTTTTTCAGCTTGTCCTCATAGCAATCCTGCCATCTCTGGCTTGCGTGTTCAGGATACCTCAATGTTTGATTTGATTTATTATTGTTACATATACCTAGGTACAGTTAAAAGTATTGTTTTGCATGCAGTACAGGCAGGTCATACCACACAAAGAACGTAGGGTGATAGAACAGTGCAAGGAATACAAAGTTACGGTCTAGAGTCAAAGAGATTAACAGCACAGAAACAGACCCTTCAGTCCAAATCATCCATGCCAACCAGATATCCCAAATAAATCTAATCCCATTTGCCAACATTTGGCCCATATCACTCTAAACCCTAAATAAAAACCAAAATAACTGCGGATGTTGTAAATCAGGAACAAAAACAAAGTTGCTGGAAAAGCTCAGCAGGTCTGGCAGCATCTGTGAAGGAGAACC